GAGTCGAATAGAGATGGCACTTGGAAACTACCGTTGGTATTTTAGGTTTCACATTGTACAGAATGAAATCATCGATAGGGCTCGCCCCGAAGAGAGGATGCCGCGCTTAATAGAAAATTGTTTAGTTTAGGCATTTAGCTTAGCTTAAAATAGATATGTAACATGATGTACTTACACGTGCAACCACTCCGTCTTCTAGACCAGGGTCATAATTGAACCCACAACAAACCTCAGATGATGTGACTTCTCCACCCTCTAGGCAATTCAAAACTGGTCCCATTAGATCGAATTTACTAATGTTAGAAAGGAAGACGAAAGGTGCCAAAACAAAGCATTTGTTTCAAGCGCTATCGTGTCCTTGAGCTTCAAAGTCTCCAAAATCTTGATCGAGAAGAGTAAGCATTGCCTGGTGAGGAAGAGCGGAAGCATAGGTTTTTGGATCCTAGCGAAGGAGTTTCAAGCACGGATTACGCTTCTAAAGAGCACTATTTGGCTTGGCCCCTTCCTGCCAAAGATTTGAGATAACTAAAGCGACTCGCAGTCAAAACTGGTGGAGCCAATGCCAAAGAGAAAATGTGTAGATAGTAGGTGAGCGCCTAGCCCCTTAGTCTTTCGGATCGGAAGATTCATTGGTTTCATCCAAAGGCTTCTGTCTTGTCTTCCTCAAATTGTTGATCGAGGATCAAAGACATTGCTAAAGCCGACGCCTATCGAACGGGAGTTCTTGTACCTGCTAGAACGGCATCTGCTTGAACTTTTGTTTCTTAGAAAAGAAAATACGAACTCACAATGTGCAACAGAAATGTACCCACCGGTTGAGAAACCACCATAGTTGGATGATTGCTCGCGCTAGTAAGACAGCTTTGACTCTTCTTGATCGTGATCTGGTGATCGGTCACACCCTCTTTAGAGGTTCTAGGCCCTGCCTATTGAGTCATCTACCACAGAAATAGAGTCTCGTGATGATCCTGGTACAAAAGGTTCGTCAGGCCCGCATTCAGAGACTTCTGCCTCAGACTCATATCCATAAAGATATTCTCTCGCTTTCTAGTTGTACCCTTCTTCACACCCACCATGGAGGTTAGAGATTTCCCGTTATCAACATTGTCCAGGCAGGACTCTATTTTTAGAATGCTCGGAGCCAACCAAACAGTTTGCTACGTCCCTCGAGAAAATCAAAACTTCATTGGAAATTCAGGACCAACTTAGGAAGGCACGGACTCATACTTTGTAAGGTCGAAGTCCACACATAAGAAAATAACTAGTGCCTAGGAATACCCCCTTCTTCACCAAAGGGTGCGGTTAACTAACCCAATTCACCGGGATCAGACGCTATGTCAGACATTTAGCTAAGACGTTATGCTCTTTTGATTGAATTATAAGAGAATTCAATCCCTAATTGGGCGTACCTTCGTTGACATCGAAACGCGCTCGCTTGAAGCCCCTACGGAGGCGGGTTTGTAAGAGAAATAAGAGGTGAATTAGCGCAGTTAAGAACTTCCTAAGGGCTACCACCGGTGGCCACCTCAAATAATGGATCAATCGGAGCTTATTTGTTAAAGCCACCACCCTGGTATCACAGATCCAACTTGGTTCAACGAATATAAACAAGAATTTAAAGGGATAAATATTAATGGCCGCCGCATCGCTCGTGTAATTTGCTAATCCAAATTCAACATTTAAGTGCATTTCAGTAGCTTGAAAACGAAGTCATTGCTACTAGCTTCACTATTTTAGAGATTACTCTGGGCAGAATCCACCGACTTCAATAGCCAATTGGACCACTGCCTCCTTCAACAGGAGTAATAAAAATGCTTTCTACCGTCGCCTACTTACCTTAAAAAACGACTAATGATCAACCGATCACAGAGGTCCTTTTCCAGCATCTACATGCTCATGCTGCAAACTATCACATAGGTCCTATTTCAGGTTCATTTACTTTCTCAAATAAGTAACTTTGTCTAATGTTTCCCGAACGAGTAGTTAAAACAACCACCCCCTGATCCGAAAGGAATGGGTGTTCCTGAGGCTTATTCAAAGGGCTTTCTAGTGAGTTAATGGGGAATGAGGGTATCACCCATAACCAGTTTGAAGATGCAAAAATTATGTTCTTGTCAAGGAGGGGGATTAGCTACACAGCCAAGGAAGGCCTTTTTAGATTATTAATATTCTGACTGCTTTTCACTCTTGTCTAGATCTTGCTTTTTCTTAGAGGGGAGGCCACAGGACAAAGCAAGAGCTTGAATGCGAGGGGCGCAACGAATGTTTGCTTCGAAGGAGCTTGTGAGCCAGCGATAATTAGACCCGTTAGTTAGTAGGGACAACTTGAATACTCCGCCTGTGTCTAATCATCCACTCGACCAGCCAATGAAACAAATTGAGATGAAAGTGATCGAAAGTTATCTCCCGTAGAAGGAGCTATGTTTGCGAAGGATTGAAGAGAGCGTTGAGGGCGCTAGCAACAGCGTGTTTGTTTCAACACAAGAAGTGCCGATCCAAGCTTTAAGAACTCAATCGTCCGTCCGACCGAATCACTCGTTTATGGCTCTGATTCCAAGTCAGGGTTTAAAACAGCGGTGACCCAGCTAGTTGAAATTTTTTTACTTGGAACACCAGACATGAGAGCCAGCTACAGAGACAGCTAATGATATCAAAGTTGACGAAACAAGAGAGTTTCATTCAATTCTTTTCAGAGTGTACGCCTATGATCAATAGTTCCTTATGTAAAGGATCTTTCCCTTCTCATATTCTATTCGAGAGTTCTCAGTATTTAGCAAAGCTGTTCCTATCTAACAGATAAAAACTGGATCAAATGACAAAGACATTGTTTGTGGAGAAAGAGGTGGCTTTTCCCGGATGAAATGAAACATTTGATTTGTGTAACAGGAGAAAGATTTCCCACTCCTTAGCCATAAAGATATGTGGCCATGAAAAAGGGAGGGGATTCAGTGGAACAGGATTGGCCGGGCGGTAGAGTCATGGAAACACTTGTTGATTCCTATTTTGGACCCTAGCTCCATGGAACAGTATGCTACTGCGGAAACATGGAAGAATTGCAATCTTAGATCAAAACACTATGTCTGGAAAGCTTGATAAGGGTCAGTTACTTGTACATTTGATTAGTATGAGCCACTCACATCGTTTTTTAAGGATAGGTGGGAGTAGGACCCTACAATAAAGAGCAGATAGCCCACATGAATCATGGGAATAACAATACGAGGCCTTTGACGAGTAAAGGAGAAATGCAAGATTTTGATCCGCGATTTTAACAAGTAGTTCGTGCTTCGTCGGCAGGGGAGACTATAGGCCATGAAAACCCACCCCTGGTATCTCCACCTGTGGATTGAGAGTCAAAAAGTGTGAATTTCGTATGTCCCGCTGGCACACGATTTCGATTACTTTTCTTGTTTCCTGTTTCGGAGATCCGATAATGGAATGCTAAATCGATATCTGGGGTCGAGCCAGAGTACTTATCCTCCCGTCTATAAATCAATGACCAATAAAAGACCAAAGTGGTGATAAATCAAGGGGCGGACAGGAGCAGCATCGTAGCTAGGAACAGGTGTTGCACCGTAGCTAGTAGGAAGAAGTACAGCATAGCTACATTCCCCATAGGGTTGGCGCCCCTCTTCTCCAATACAAATTGAATCATAGCAAGGGCTAAGCTATCTTAAAACCACCTTCAGCCTTAGATTTCTAAGTTCTGTTTCCACCATTACTAGTGTTTCCTTGCTTTTCATAATAGAAAAAGATCAACTAAACTAAACCAGAGATTGTCGTAGAGATTGGCAGGACTGGGTATTATTCTGGGCGATGAAATGGATGGAATTTCTTGAAACATAACTCACTTCACTTATAATCGAATTTGGAAAAGGGAGACTAGCTGCTGCAATAAATCAAGAAGAAAGCAGGCGCAAAAGAGAAGCTCAATGAGAGAGATTCTAGACCGGTCATGGTCGGGGCTGATCGATCGCTCCTTAAAAGGGAGTTAACTGCTTCGAACCAGACATGAAACTTGTCTCATAGAGTGAGCTAGCCCCAGATAGCGAAGGATAGCTATTGACTTATTGGGAAACCCGCCTCCAATACATGCTTATCCCAGACCCCCTATTCCTTCATTTTAGGTTTTCATGGCCAATTCAATAACATAGTCCGCACACCTCTTTTCAATTCTCTAGAGATAGTTGTCATTTATCTCTTCTTCCGGGTACCTCCTATTTGGTTGGAAGTTTCCTGCTCCAGTTGGGAAAGCAAGGGCCCTAGTTTCGTTATTGAGTCTCGTTATGGTCGAATATGAATGAATCCTGGAATGGAATAAAAACATGAGTAAAATGCATCGTAGTCCCTCAATCGAACAGTCAACTAGTTCATATCTAACCTTATGTATTCTTTTCCCGCACCTTAGCTTCAAATAATTGAATGAATGAGTGCTATTTCAGAGTTCAAGTTTAGGTATTAGCTCGCTACAGTTTAGTCAGTAGTTCTGTCCCTTTGTTCGGTGAACTAGTTCTGGATATAAGCATTAGAATGAGAGTGGCTACGTACTCGGATTACTTGACTCGCTTTCCTGTTTCCGAATCCCTTCTTGCATACAATCCTAATTCACAATCTGATTCTTGCTCGATTCTATAATGAAAAACAGACCTTGTGACATGGATTTGATGAAGCTTGAAAGGACTCCCCTTGTTCGAAGCCAAAGATAAGAAGCATACTGGTGACAACCCCAATCCTTATATATCAATCCAATTACCGGAGGAACGAAGAACTAAGTTTGCCTGACGCCCGAAAACAACTTGTTTGTTTTGGTGGAAGAGGAAGAAATAGAGAAAGATCGCCGCTTTTCATACGCTAATTCGTGATTCAAAGTAGAGCGAGTGAGGGAGCTATACCCAGGACTCAATCAACATATGCCAAGTGTTCCGTAATCTATGGGCAGCACTCCGTAGGAATGTTATAGTCTAGGCATGTCGTAGTACTCATTAGACAGAAAGAGGAGAAACTTAACGTATCTCTACGAAAGGACTTATTGTTCGAGTAGGAAGATTTCGGTTTTTCTCCTTCCCTCTTTTCAATAAGAAGAAGTATTTGAAATGAAACAAATTCCTCTTCATTCTGTTGTGCTCAGCGAAGGAACTGCCTAAGCATACTTTTGCGGATCCAAACTTCTTTGTTCTTTCAAAGTCTTCTTCTTGCATATAAGAACGCAACTTTTGCAATTCCTTGGATTTGAGTAGTAAGCGGCATCCCCTCTGAGTTGTGAGTAAGCGGAACCATTCTTTTTTTGTTCTTCTCCAGATTCTGGCCGGTAGGAATTTGCCTCTTCTTTTTCCAACTGATATGGCCGATAGGAATTTGCCTATGATTTTTGCAACTGATATGTCGATATAGAAAGATCTCCTTATTTCAAAACTGCGGGTTCTCGCGTCATTTTCTTTAAAAGATATTAGATCATCGTGGGAAACTTTCAAATGAGTAATGGTTACCAGTCCATTATTCAAACAAACCCTTCGATGACTTATCGGCTGCCTTGCTTGAGGAAGAGTGTCACTAAAATGGAGACGAACCGGAATCACGTCCGATCTTGTTTCTTGATTGAGTAAAAAAGGGATATATGAAGTTCGTTCTCTTCCTCTGTGCATCTCCCTTATGGGTAAATCCCCATAATAAAGAGACAACTTTCGTGTAGTTTGTGATTTGATGTTACTGTTTAGATTTTCTCTCCGAGAAAGATTTCTTTTAATGGATCTCCTCTTGTTCCTCAATCTTCGGAGAATACGGCGTTGGATTAGAGAAAGTTCTCTGTTCCGAACATTTCCTGGAAGTAGACGACACGTTTTAAATCTTAATGCTGGCATGGCATATTTCGTTGAATCAGTCTTTTTCGCCACATCGCGTATAAAGGGAATCGAACCCAACTCTTCCAAGAACCCCCCACGAATGGCCCTCCCTTAATTCAATGAACTATGAGAATTCCTTTTTTCGTTTTTTCTTTTCAGTTCTCATAAGTCCTTGATATACTAGCAGAAACTCAATACTTGACCTACTGCGTCACAGTGCTCAGGTAAAGTGGCAGTGGTTGAAAGCGAGCGGAAACGTCAATGTTTTCTGTGCGTTACGATAGTAGTGGTGAAATAAAATCCAATTCAAATATCTCAACGTAAAAGGAAAATCGTTTCACTTTGAAAGGAAAACTAGCTATATGAGATCGAAATCACTCTATCTACGATATTCATTGCACCATGATTGAAGGACAATGAGGGGCAGGTTATATTCCCTTTCTTCTGATCGATTGAGGAATCGCTGATAATGACACCATGTCTGTAGCATCTACTGCTATTGCAAGGCCCGAAGCACATGGGAGAATGTTCGTTTTTTCTGGATCGGATTAGCAAAAGCAAGCAAGCGTGTGATGTGGCGAGGAAGCCTAAAAGAAGCCTTTGGGAGGCAGTGTGGTGACGCCCTGTTTGGCGCGTGCGAATTAACTAATCTAATGATATATTGGTAACTGCCTGTGGGTCCGCACACCACTCCTTATGTTCAGCTAAAAAGCCTTCCGGGTCGAATTTATTAAGAAATAATCAAAGATTAGAATGCCAATGTGAATTTAGGTTCAAAAGGATCAATAGCACATGACGAAGTTCAAGTGTCTTCTCTTCAAGAGAATAGAGCATAATTGTAGGATTATATGGATATCAGTGCTTTTATTCAATTCCCAAGGCACTCTTCAACAATTGAGGAGATTCCCGAGGTTGTCTTAGTGCTATCGTCAGGGTCACCAGCCTATTGTACCCCTTATTCTGGCTTAGCCTTGCTTAAACAGAAGAGGCTTGGTTAGCATCCTTTCTATCAGGTGCTGTTCTTTGCTACCAACAATTCTTTAAGTACGCGGTGAAGTAAATAATAATGCACTTGCTGACAGTAGAACCCCCAAGAAATATCACAGTATAGGCCGATATCTTTGTGCAATGTCATTTACAAGCTATGCTCCAAAGTCTTGGCAAATAGGCAATGAGATCATTTCCGAGGACTTATTAAATAGGGGTGCTTTTTCTACGAATATAATCAATTTCATAATGCTATCCGCTTTGATGAAGCAAATCAGATGACGGCGATCTACGCCTCGAAAAGGAGAAGTGGTTGGGTGGAAAAGAGCTGGGTGCACATGTACGACAAGCCGCCACCGTAATGACGTGTATGTCACCCTAATTGACAATGATGGCATATGGATATATATGCCCCATGACAAAAAGTAATTTGAGGCATCTACATTTATTTTTTCTCCTCAATGCAAGCTATCACTAGTGGGCCTCATTAAGAAATAAAAAATAAAGATATTAGTACATATGCATCTCTTTTTTTCGCTCCAACTTTTTCAGCTTTTGTTATCGGACCATACTTTTTCTCTTCAAGCACCCGCCTTCTGGAAAGGATCCCGCTTCCCTATCCGAACCTACTTTACGTCATATCCGATCCTACATGGCATGCGAGGCATCACCTTGAGGCTATGCATTGTACATGACCTTATACGGTCGAGCGACGCCTAGCGTCAGCCATGCCATTTTCAAAAAGAATACAAAATATATTTGAAAGTTTCAAAAAGTATCAAAAAAAGTCGTACAAATATATATACATGTTCTTCAACTATGTGTAAGATTTCCTTAACTAATGGGATTATTTGAGGACTAATAGAAAAACACAAATATCTGGTCCAAATACAACAGAGAAAGCCCATTTTAATCTATGTATTTGTCCTTTTTGTGTACATCACATCTGAGTATACTACAAATATATGATTATGTGTTTTTTTCAGAATATTTTAGGCATGGAAATAGTATTTTCACTGAAAAAAGTAAAGACCTCCCTCAAGCTCAGCCTCCAGGTGCACTTTACGGGCGAATACTCCTTTATAATGTGCAGTGACTAGTGAGATATACACAACTCTATGCAGGTCACTCTGTGCATTTTAAAACCGAACCGAAAAACCATACCGAAAATAAACCAAACTGAACCGATTTTTTTGTTTTTATGGTTTCTGATTTCGGTATGGTATGAACTTTTCATACCGATTTAAACTTTGGTTTTATGGTATATACCGAAAAACCGAATGGTTAACCGAATAAACCGAAGTAAAAAATAAATTTATATTTCTTGAGATGAACAACCGTACAAGTTGTCATTTTTCTTGTACATGAGTCAAATTCACTACTAAGCACCTACATTTTTCTTGTAACATTGTCATTTTTCTCTTTTTAAAATGCTAAGCACGTCCATAACCATCAACAGATGAATCAATGCATGCATATATACTTATATATATAGTCATATACTATTTGTGTAAAATAGAATGTGTTTTGAGTCATAAATTTGTAAATTATTATTACGTCATTTTCAAATTCGCGTCAACTTTGGTTTTTATGGTATATACCGAAACCATACCGAAATAATTTGGTATATACCGAAACCGAACCGTATTTTAATTTCATACCGTATTTACCGAAGTATTAATACCGTATATACCGAAAAACCGTATAAACCGAATCATGTAAACCGAATAAACCGAACGCACAGGGCTATATGCAGGTCAGCTAAAAAAACTGTATGCAGGTCAGGAAATTAGCCTAAATGAGCAGCTACGAAGAACCGTTCTACCTCAGATTTACAGCAATTACACTCACCGTAGCTAATTTACAAAACTTCTTTTCCTGTCAGATAATCCCCTTCCTCTTCTGTGCAGTCCTCTAGTTCTCACTTCCATGGGCTAGTAATGGTACACTGCTTTCGGTGGGAGATCCAGGGACAAATGGGACGAAGCCTCGACCTCCGAACACCGGCCGCATGAAGGCGTTGTCAAACTTGCGCCAGTAGTGGTGGACTGACCGTGTTGGACTCGCCAGGAGCATCCGGAGACTCGTCGGGCGGCGTATGCTCACAGCATTCTCGAGATCCGTCTCAGGCCCATTCCCGGGCAGCTGTTCAAGGAAGGACTTCGGGCTGGATGGCTCAGAAAGGGCACTCACTTCCCTAGTGAGGTGCCTCGCTGGAATCAGGAGTCTGATCAATGGCTTAGTCAGTAGCCCAAAGACCTGATGAAACGTAAAAGATGTGATAATATGAGTAATTGTCTGGAGATTGGCTTCCATATTATGTGGTTGTTCATATTAGAGATTTTGTTGCCCTGAATGGAAGGATGTATGGCATTATTTAAGAGGAAGAGGAAACTTACAATTGTGCTGAAAAGAACAATAATTATTGTACTGGTGATCATGATAGCATTGCTAGGGAGCTGAGTGTGCCCTGATTTTGCAAACTGCAAGTGATAAAATGACTAGTTAGACAAAGCACGAATGCAAACAACATGAAGATACATAAGCAAAAATCCAGCCTTTTCCTGGAGCAGTTTCATTTGCAAATAGACCAGCTACACGGGCACGCACACCCTAATTGAGATATCATATTACAATGGTAACGAATATATTAATATTTCTTTCTAAAAAAGAGTGACAAAAAGATATATGCTTACTATCATTTTCTTTAACCACATGTTTTCAATTTTTGGCAGGATATTTTTTATTGTAATTTTTTGAAATGGGGATTTGTTGATGACTCCTTTTAAATCAGAATGATTTTTTGGATAGGTGATTTATTTTAAAAAGATAACGAATCCAATATTGTGGAGGATATCCCGTCCTCATTGTGAGATGTCCTACACATAATAATTTTTCCAAAAGTACGTAAATTATGCAACTCCCTACTATGATTTTTCATGAAATTTGTTCACCAATGATGGTTGAAGTGTACCGGTGGAAGGTATATAAACAAAGTTCGGCACGCAAATTGCATATTCACAATGATGTGTTTTCACAAATTTTAAGTCGACAAATTTGGTATATCTGTTCTTAATGACAGAATTCTAATAAAGAATGAGGTGTTACATTAGCATATACTCCCTCCGTTCCATAATTCTTGTCGTGGTTTTAGTTCAAATGTGAACTAAAACCACGACAAGAATTGTGGAATGAACCAAAACCACGACAAGAATTATGGAACGGAGGGAGTACTTATTAAGTATGATAAAACACTGAGACTAGAAAACTCGATCATGCATTACACCCAAAGCACATATGGAATAGATCAGACACAATATTTTACCTTATTGTAGGCCAATGCAATTGACACGGCACCTCTCATGAGACCCGCCCACCAAATAATAACCTGAATAACCCACATCAAGTAAGTAACAGGAGTATTCTTGAAAGGACATAACATAAATAAGATGTTTCTAATATGACACTCACTTGCTGCCTAATAGAGATCTTCTCCCCTGGAGTTGTTTTGGTCAAATTGGAGAGATAAGATAGTGGGAAAACAAATGCAGCTCTTGCAACCAGTACCAACGCCACAATAATGGAGCTCAAGCCAATAGATTTCATTGGGCTGCATAGCAAAATGTGTTACAAAACAAAACTGTCTGGATGTGAACAACAAATATGTTACTACAGACATGGAAAGAAGCAGATAGAGAACATACCTATATGTTTCACTAACAATCTTCCACTTCTCTATATCCAATGCATCCATGCCAACATAGAGAAAGAGAAACGTCTCAGAGATGAATGACAACGTGGCGAAGGCATGCCTGTTGTGCATAGAATGACATAAGCATCAGCGAAGTTCAGATGTCAAATGATGGATTCACATGTATTTCTGATACAAACAATGCAGATACTTACTTGGTTGTGACCCTGGAACTCTCTGTTACATTGTGCCAGGTATAGTGTGACATTACAATACCACAGAAGAAAACCGTGAGAATACCACTCAAATCAAGCAACTGCAACACAAAGCAACCAGTCAATATCAATTAGAGCTAGCTGATAGTGACAGATTGTGTAGTATCTATGTGAAGTTAGTAGTGCAGGGTGCTTACTTCAGCCAGCATGTAAGATAAATAAGCCATGAGCATCATAATAGCAACTTCACGATCAGTGGAGTGCCTGGAAAAAATGCCAAATTAGAGGAACAAACCATAAAAGCATATTAGAAAATCTGAAATTGTATTGAGATTGGTGACACAGGTATCATATCAAGCACACAATTCAATGTGTCCAAGTACCAACCTGCCAAAGTACAGTTTCTTGATGACATAAGCACTGAGAAGTCCACTCTGCAGTAACACCACAAATTCAGTGAGACGGCAGAACTTGACAAGTTAACAAAGCCAAAGGTGGAACCAGGACAGAACTTACAGCTACTCCAAGAAAGGTGCTGGCGCCGAATAGATAGAGGAAATTTCCAATGAACTGTAAGAATTTGAGGCTACTGAAATTTCCAAGATCAAAGTTCTGGATTGCATTGAACAACACAACTGATGTCGCATCATTAACAACACCTTCACCAAACACCAAACTGTACAAGAAGGGTGTCTCATCTTGGTTTAACACCTGCAAGGTGCAAACAGAGTCCGTTGCCGAGAATATTGCCCCAAGTGCTGAAAAAGCGAACGTGCAGAAAGAGTCAAAAGCAAGAAGAGCAGACACGCAATGGAAATTCTTCTTATACTTAGGTTAATGGAAAAGTTTATACTCCAGGTTAAAGAACTGACCGAGGTAGTCTCCAAGCTCAAGGGAGCCTATGTTCAGCCTTGATATTAGCCCCATCGCACCTGTGATAGATTGGGCCAGTGAGACAGATGAGCAACAAAGCAACATGCTGAGTGAAATTTTAAGAGGGAGAGAACCTACCAAGGGATATTATACTGAAGGAGATCAAGGTCCCAACTACAGCAAACAATGTAATAGTCATGAAGTTGCGGAAGAATTGTTTCTTCTTCACTTGGAACCTGGTCAGGGATAGGGGAAAAGAGTAGTGTGAGTCATGCAACTGTTAGGCTCCTTAAGCAAAACTTGCAGTTAATATCTAATATAACTACTATCAGCCTTCCTTGTTACTCTAAAAGATATAGCCACATTCAGTTATTAGAGAGTACGATTTATGCATTAGATAGTTTCACTGTTTTTGAGTCGAACGACTGTCGCAACTAATTGTAGTCATAAAAAAAATTCAAGACTCAACAACGTGTCGCAACTGCAGGGTCGACTATTCAAGAGTCGCTACCCAAGACCGACTAGTCGACTCGAAAACCTTGGGTAGTTTCCATCATCTTAACCTAGAAAACCAAATTTTGCAATAAAAGAGGAATCGATAATATGGGACACTCCTAAAATCAGAACAGTTATGTTAGGCTCCAGCATGGAGCACAGCAAATCAGTGACCCTATTCATTAATTTCAATTTCTTTCAAGAGAAGGATTCTCATGAATGATACACAAGAGAAAGCAGCGCAAGACTAGTGCATAAATACTGTAGTAATTTGCATAAGAAGAACATACCCTGCATTGAAAATGATGGGTGGGAGCAGATAGATGAAGAACAAATCCTCGCTGAAGACCATTAAGCGCGAGTTTTTCCCGCTGGACGCGAAGAGGATGACCGTGCCGGCGCCCAGCCCCTGCAGACCCACGCGCGCAAGGATCAAATCAAGCAACCACAACAAACACACACAGAGATGCAGAGGAGCAGACGGTACTGACAAGCAAGAGCGCGGTGGTGGACTCGTTCATCCAGCGATTCTCCTCGAGGAGGTGGCCGACGATGATGCAGATGCACATGAGCGCGACGAACAACCCCACCGCCATGATGGAGCCGTAATCCGCCGGCGGGTCGCCCAGCCCCAGCCCCATCATCCCGCCCTCCGGGCACCGAAATCAATCTCAATCTATGGAAACCAAATTGAGCCCCCCACGCCTGCCTTGTGTTACGCGACAAGAGAAGACAAGAGAGGAGCGAGACGAGCGGCGCAGAGGCAGAGGTCGGCCGGCGGGTCTGGGGAAAGGTGGCGCCTTCGCGGCCAAGGCAGGTGGAGGAGAGAAAGAAAGATCCGTGGAAAGCTACGGCGCGAGGAAACAGGGAGGGGATCCAGGAAGTTGGTTTGGGGATTTTTATGGGCCGTCTCTCGGTGGCGCCACGTGCGGCCAACGAACTCCTTCTGTTTTCCTCTTCTGTTTGTTGGAGCACGAAGAGGAACACGGAACGATTTCATTAGCTTGTCTTTTTTTTCCTTCTTCTATCTAATAAATAATCGCCTTTTTCAATTTGATTTGAAGTGACGGTGGCGCGAGGGTGGCGTCGGCCCACCAAGGAGCGGGCTGTCCACACCACAGATGAGAATGAGCGAGTCCTCTCGTTGGGGGCCACCTCGGATGACCCGAAGGCTCCAGGCTCCAGCTCCTGCCTACCTGCAGGGACCCACCGTGGGGAGCTCCTAACCGGCGCCTTAAGCGCCGGTTCAGCAAGCTGGCACTTGCACGCCGCACCTCATGGGCCGGCCCACCACACGCTGTAGAAGAAAAAATGTCTCGTGAATAAAACACGCAAAAAACTGCCGGTACCGTCACTCAAACTCATGCCTTGAAACTACAAAGGAGGAACCATTCCGCTAACCACTACAACAAGGAACCCCTAGTTAGTACAAATGAACGCGAAGTGTATAAGAACCAATAAATTAGCGCTATTTATTGGATTTCCTAATTATTTTAAAAACACTTATTGAACTTGAAAAAAGATCATTGAACTTGAAAAAAAGTTCACCAAATTTGAAAATGCTCATCAAATTTGTAAAAAGTTCATCATTTTACTTAAAGTTCATCAAATTTGTAGAAATGTTCGTCCATTTTTTAAAAAGTGTTCATCAATTTCGGAAAAAGTTCAACAAAATTTGAAAATAGTTCATCGGATTTGCAAAAAAGTTCATCGATTTTGAAAAAAGTTCACGAATTCAAAAAAGGTTCACAAAAAAAGTTCATCGGATTTGCAAGAAGTTTATGGATTTTGAAAAAAGTTCACGAATTCAAAAAAGGTTCATAAAAAAAGTTCATCAAATTTGAGAAACGTTCATAGGATTTGCAAACAGTTTATGGATTTTGAAAAAAGTTCACGAATTCAAAAAAGGTTCACAAAAAAAAAGTTCATCAAATTTGAGAAAATGTTCAACGGATTTGCAAATTTTTTATCGATTTTGAAAAAGGTTCACGAATTCAAAAAAGGTTCACAAAACAATGTTCCCGAAATCAAAAAAGGTTCACAAAATAGAAAAAAGAACAAACAGAAGAAAACCGGCAAAAAAAAAGAAAGAAAAGAAAACAGGTTCACGTTCTTTATTTGAAGAACTGTGAAAGATGCTCTCAATCACCAAAGCTTGTTGTCCCCGGTGGTTACTGCGCATGTAAAGAGATTGTGGGGTGAAGGGTTCGAATCCTCCCCCGCACACCTTTTTTTGAAAGAATTTAGAGTAGAAAAAAAAAGGTAAGACGGGCCAGCCCAGTGCGGACGGAGGGGTGTGCGCCCGATTGCACAAAGAACTATATCGGGCGCAGAGAGCGCCGTTTAGGAAATGCCCCCACCGTGGTGGTGACCTTTTTGCATATTCAAAGTTTTAGATTGCTAGCCAGGCCTGCCGCCTGGTATCGTGGTGGTGACTTGTTCGGGATTCTTCTTTCTCTGTATGGTTTTTGGTTGCCAGCGCATCCGCGGAGAATTTCTTTTTTCTCTGATTGATTTTTGGTTGCCAATGCACTTACGAAGGATTTCTTCTTTTTCTAGGTGGTTTTTGGTTGCCGGCGCATCCATGGAGGATTTCTTCTTCCTCTTGGTGGTTTTTGGTTGCCAGTGCATCCACAGAGGATTTCTTCTTTCTCTTGATGGTTTTTGGTTGCCAGCGCATTCATAGAGGATTTGCAAGTGCTGTGCGTCGCCACGGGAATTCGCCTACAGTTACAATAATAAATTGGAAAAACATCACGACGACGTATGAAGCCAAATCTTGATTTTAGTAGTACTAGCGAATGCTTCGAGCGGGGTGGTTAGCAAGGCCATCTCAAGAGCAGCCGATCCCTTTGTGCGTCGCCGCTGGTTCCCTCTCCCTTCGCAAGGCGCTCCGACGGCGGGAGAAAGAGGAAACCTCGGACATGTGCGTCCGGTGTGTTCTCGGTAGGGTTAGGATTGATGGAGCCGCTACTGAGGCTGTCGTCGCGGCGGTGCGTCTGAATAAGTTCCTCCGGGCTTCGTTCGCTCTCAGACGGGGCTCTAGCCTTCGTTTAGGAGCTAGCGGAGTGGGGGATCCCCGGATCTTGTTGAGTTCGCGGGCTATGGTATCTGGAGGTCGATCGGCACTGGCCGGTTTGGTCCTCGGATGGGTAGTGGTTGTATTGAGGCGAATATTCTTCTTCCTCGTTGGTACGATTTCCTGTTGTGTTTCTTCATCCTTCTTTGTGCGGCTGCTGGAGGGATGTCCTGTTTTGTTCGAGCGGTTGGCTCGGCGGCTGCGCCGGAATCGGATCCTAGTTCTCTTCCATCTAGAAGGGACACATATAGCGGTACCCAAAGCTACAAATAGCGAAGGCTGGTGCAGGCGTGTTGGATGCACATGTGTGTCCTTGTCTTTTTTGCGCCGGAGCGAATAAATGGGGGAGCAGCATGGCAATGATTATGGCGTAGTTGAAGATGAGGACCTGCATGAGTCTGGATGCATATTACTATGTTGCATGGGTCTCCTCGCAAAGTTTAGGGATGATGACACAGAGCTCCGAAGGTCTTCATGTTTTGCTGGTTGTTTGAAGGTGTTCTTTGTTATTCTGATTGTTTATGCATGTGTTAGGGTGTGCTTGTTTGGGTTAAGAACTTTGTATTATGTCGTGATTTGAATACAATCATACTTTCTCAAAAAAAAATCTTGATTTTTAGTGAAAATCTAGAAACTTAGCCTGTTGCATTGTTGGTTCTACAACAAACGGCATCCACTCAACCATCACATTTGGACCATATGTACGGTAGGCTTGTGATTACCACCATAATTATTTTCAAAAATTCCTCGCGGTCCACCGTGCCCTGCGCTCACGCCGCGCGTCACTCCGGCCGCGGCGGCCACCTCTCCTCTCCTTCCTCTGTGCACATACTCAAGCCGCTCCCGCGCCATGGCCTCGAGTCCGAGATCGGTGACCTCCATCTTCAGGCCATCTGGTGAGCGACCGGTGGTCTCGGGGTTGGGGATCTCCTCGGAGTCGGAGGGCTCGAAGGTCCGCGGCCCGCGAGCGGAGGTGGAGACGCAGCCTGTTCCTGCGCCACCTTCGGCGCCATGGGTGCAACCGCCCCCCTCAAAGAAGGAGCTTGGGAGGAAGCGCCATGCCATGGGTGAGCAGAGCAGTGATCCGGGACGCGCGTCGGGCAGGCCGGCGATGTCGCCGGAGATGAGGGACAAGTGCTTCCGTTGCTTGGAGAAGGGACACTTCCGGGTCGACTGCATCAACGAGATCGTCTGCTTCCGCTGCGGGCTGCCCGGGCATGGCTCCAAGGACTGCAAGAGGCCCCGTAGCCCGTCTTCGGTGGATGAGCTGAGGTGCGACGCGGTGGCCAAGGTGGCTCACCGTGCCATCCCGGTGCCCCTCGCAGCGGCGCGCGGCGCGCCGCCGGTTGCTCCACCGCCCCCTCCCCCCCAGCAGCGCACGAGCCAGGACGCGCACCTGGTGTGGCCACCGCTGGCGCCGCCGCGGTTGCAGACTGTCATCGATGCCGAGGAAGACCCCACAGAGATCTGCATCGTGCGTCGTTCACAAACGGTGGAAGATCTTGAGCGCCGCCTCCAGTTCACCATGGTGGCGTACGTCTGTGGGGCGAGGCGTGAGATCCCTGCGGAGCGCGTTCTTGAAGTTCTAGCTGGCAAGCTGGACATCCCGCCCGACCTGGTGTCCGTCCATCTCCATCGACCGGAGGACTTCTTGGTAGTTTTTGCTTCTGTGGAGTTGAGGAACAGAGTTTCTGCATGTCCGATAGTGGAGTTTGAAGGAGACAGGTTGTTTTTCCAGCCGTGGAACCGCCAGTCACAAGCAGTGCACGCCATGTTCGGGTTTAAGGTCTGGCTCGAGATTGAGGGCATCCCTCCCCACGCCTGGGACAGATCGGTGGTGGAAGAGCTGTTGGGTTCGTCTTGCAAAGTGGATTCGGTCGTGCCAGAAACCTGCTCTCGCGTGGACTTGTCCTCGTTCAAGCTGTTGGCGTGGACTGCTCACCCTCAGGGCATCCCCACGCTGCGGTGGCTCGCCGTGCCGGAGCCTGGAGAGGAGGTGCCTCCTGCGCTGCTACAGTACAAGACGTTGATTCATCTCGATGCCGTCAAGGATTTGCGCGAAGCGGGAGAGCCATGGTTTCTTGGCGGCTCGTCGGGCAGCGGGCAGAGGGGTCTTCCTGACGATGACGATTTTGGTGGCCCGGATCACCGCACCGTCCGGTCGCCGTGGAGATTTGGTGTGCGCGACAACCGTGCCGGCGATTTTGGCTTCGTCGTCGGTGGCTCCGGTGCCGGGGGCCGTGCTCCTAACGGCCGGGGCACGTGGGCGGCGAGCGCTGATTGGAGGTTGCCACCGATGGGCCCTGCTGACCCTGTCATCCAGGGGGCCCCGCGCGTGACGATAAGGGATAGGATCACCAGAAGACCGTCAGCTTTTGACCGTTTGACCACTTCGGCGGGACCCATGGAAGCATCTCGGGCCATCCCGAGGCATGTTTCAAATCCCTCGTGCAGCAACCTGGCGGTGCAAGTTGTCTCGGAGGCCGCGGTTTTGCAATCCCCTATCACAAGGCAGGA